ACCTTACTCCAGTCACACAGGACTTGAACCCAGGTCCTCTAACTGTAAGACCTTCTATTGTGCTTACCACTGACCTAAGAGATCCTTTACTTCAGTCCTCTCCCTTTCTAGATGAACAAATTCCAGGTCTCAAAAGATTAGACTTGTCTCAGGTAACTCAAATAGATTTGGGACCCGGTCAACAAGAACGTTCCCTCCAAAGATGTGAAATCAAAATTCAGCCATGACTGACCATTCTGTGCCCCGCTTGTCCCATAAATTGACCTGAGAGGGTCCAGTCAATGTACTGAGGGCCTTTCTCTTCTTTCTGTTGATATCATGAAGATACCAGCAGAACATATGGGTCATTCCCAGAAGCTGGTGGCCCAGTAGATAAAGAACTGAGCCTGGTATTAGAGAAACTTGAATTCAAATCCAACCTCAAATACTTATCTGTGTAACTTTGACCTTTGATTTTCTCCATTTCTCCAACTACAAAATGGGGACAATAGCACTTACCTCAAAGTGTTGCTGTGAGGATCAAATATGATAATATTTATAAAAGCACTTAGTACAGTGGCTGGCACATAGTAGGCACTATATAAATGCATATTCCTTCCCTAGTTATTTTCTGTTACAACTTAAGAAGCCCATCATCTTTTTTTTGATTATACATTTTTAAAATGCCATGATTTAATAACTGTGTGATTTTAGAATAAAGGAGTCTGTGGTCACACAGTTAGCAAATAACAGACAATATTTAAACCCCTCTTCTGTTCCACTATAGTACCCAGAGAAGCAGACAGTATGAACTAGCCAAGCAAAGACAGCAGGAATCTGACCAGCTTTGTGACCCTTCCCAGAATTCTATTCACTTGACGGTGAAAGAGAGGAAAAGAAACGGGTCTGGGTGTCTGCTTGGATCTCCTCTATTGGAAAGGCTAGTGGGGTTTGGGTTGAAGAGGGAATGGAAGGATCCAAGGATTTGGAAAGTTTCAGACTAGCTTCTCAATATATTTTGGTGATTGATTGGAGTCTTTGATGCCCCCTAACCTGACTGAAACCAGTCTGGGCTGTAATGAAAGGAGATTCTTCAATACAAGTATGCCCCCCTGTGACCATATAGAATAACACAACTTAATTGACTGGCCAATTCCAACCTAACCAACTCCCTCCCCCTCTAACTACCCTAAGATTAATGTGAGGGATTTAGGGTTCACTCTCAGATTTCCTCCTGGCATGCAACTCCATCATGGGAGGAATGTGGTAACCACAGATGAAGTGGAAAACTCAGCAAAGAGAATGGGGAAGTGTAGAGGCTCCAGATTAGGGCATTAGCCCTGTTTGATTCAAGCACAAATTCTCCAACATGGGATTCCCCATCCAACCCAATGCTGCCTTATTAGCCCATCACTTCATACTTTGTCCATTTCCTTTCCAGCTCTTAGCAACTAAGATCAGGGTTAGTGATAGCCCCAATCCAGTTATCCCTGCTCTAATCTATGCAATAGTCTCAGCACAGACTCTAAGGCTACAGAGCATTTTGGCTGATTGGGGCTAGAAATCTTTACCTCCTTATTCCCTGTTCTTTAGAGGGTAAAGCTATACATCCAGTCATCCAAGTTTGTAACCTTGGAATCCTCCTGCACTCTTCACTCTACCTCCCTCACTCATATCCATTCCGTTGCAAAGTCTTGGCATTTTACCTCCACAGCTCTCTCATTCATCCCAAGCTCTCCACTCACAAAAAAAAACACCACCTTATTTCAGCCCCTCATCACCTTTCAGCCTTCCAACGGCTCTGTCTTCCTCAAGAATCTCCCTTCTTCAGCTCCACAGAACTGCAATAGTGATATTCCTAAAGCATTAATCTAACCATATTATCACCCTCTGCTTTAAATCACCAGTGGCTCCCCATCAATCAATCAACAAACATTTATTAAACATCTATTGTGTGCTAGGTGTTGGAGATCCAAAGACAAAAATGCCTTCAAGAAATATTCTATTGAAGAGGAAATAAGCATTTATTAAACACCTACTATTGTGCCAGGCTCCATGCTAAGTACTTTACAAATATTTCATTTGATCCTCACATCAACCCTGTGATGTGGGTGCTATCATTACCCTCGTTTTACAGTTGAGGAAACTGTGACAAACAGAGTCACACAGAGTCACACAATTAGGAAGTGTCTGAGGCCAGATTGGAACTCTAGTCCTTTTGATTCCAATCCTAGCACTCTCTCTCCCCACTGTACCACCTAGCTGCCTTCTTTTAAGGAAATATGTATACATAAAAACAGAAAAACAATATATATAAAGGAGATGCAAGGTAACTTGGAGGTTGGGAGGGGAGCAGCTGAGAGGATTCAGAAAGGCCATGTGTAAGAGGTAAAATTGAAGCTGAGCTTTGAAGGAATCTAATGAATAGAGGAAAAGAAGAAGTGCATTTCAGGCACAGGATAACAATCTCTGGACCCAGAAAAGACCCCAGCAGCCAGCTAGTCCAACCTCTTCATTTTGCTCATGAGGAAACTAAGGCCTATGGAGGTGAGGTGACTTCCCCAAGGTCACAGAGGTAGCAGCAGAGTTAGGATTAAAACCTAGGTCCTATGACTCCAGAGCCGCTGGACCTGATGGAAGCTAACTTGCCAAGGCACAGAGATGGGACGGAGACTGTCATGGGAGAGACACAAGTTGGCCAGTTTGGATGGACCTCAGAGTGTGTGAAGGTCCAGTGTGTATCTGGAAAGGTAGTCTGTCTATAGGTAGTGACGGATTTGAAATGCTAAGCAGAGGATCCACTGAAGTTTCCAGGGGTTAACTGTACCATGTGCTTTAGGATGGTACCTTGGATTGTTTGATTAACTACCAATTGCCTTCTATTGTGTGTCCTTCATTTCCAAAGAGGAACAGTGACATCACAGGGTAATGTCTCCACTGTTTCGTGAAGTGGATTTAAGTGAGGCAGAGTTGCATGAAGTCATTAGCCTCTCTTCCGGAGTCATTGAAGTCCAATGGCAAGACAAAAGTCAAGATGATGGGGGTTTGGCCTGTGATTTGGTGGATAACCTTAGTGTCTTCAGCATTGGACCAAGCTCTAAAAGTTCCACGGGGCCTGTTTCAGCTGCCTTCATGGATGTTGGAACAAATTGTTCTCATCTGCCCATTCCACCAGGGGAAGTCTTAGAATGCTTGAAGTAGACACCCCCTAACTCACAGATGGGTTTTGAGGCTCCTCAGTTACCCTCAACCTCTACCCTATTGCCTCTAGGATAAAATTCAAACTCCTCTGTCTGGCATTTAAAGCTTTTCACAATCTGGCTCCAACCAATCCTTCTAGATTGATTACTCCACTTCACATCAATTAGGTCTAGCTAAATTATTTCCACACACAGCGTTCCATCTCCTGCCTTCCACTTTTTTTGGGGGGGGGCCCTAGGCAATGGGGTTAAGTTAACTTGCTCAGGGTCACACAGCTAGTGAGTGTCAAGTGTCTGAGGCTGGATTTGAACTCAGGTCTTCCTGAAACCAGAGCCAGCGCTCCATCCACTGCACCATCTAGCTGCCCTTCCTTCCACTATTTTCGTAAGATATCTCCCACACCAGACATGTATTGCTTCCTTAACTTCATCTCTTAGAACAGCAACATTCAGCCTAAGGACCAGGCCCTACATATGACCTTCCTTCCTCAAAAAATGATCATAAATTATATATACATATACCATATATATTTGTTATCTACTAATTTGTGTATATATTGTCATCCCCATGCCACTCCCATTACATACTATAAGTTCCTTGAGGGTAGGGACTGGTTAATTTTTGTCTTTGTATTCCCAGCACCTAGCATAGTGCCTGGTACATAATAGGCATTAAATAAATGATTATTGGTTGGTTGATTCCTGAAGCTCATCAGGTCCTGGGATTCTCCAGATTGAGAAAGAGGTGTATGAGGGTGAAAGGGAGCTCTCTCCAGGTGCATCTTTGTGGTGAGTGAGAAGTCTCTTTGCTCATTACCCCTTCCTGAATAAAAATGAATTAAATGAAGTGTAGGGGTCCTGGGCTTACTGATTTGAATCTTACCCCTCCTTCCTCCAGCCTTTACTTCCTTTCAGTAACCTCTTTAAAAAAAACCCACCAACATACTAATCCACTATGAAATGCTTCAAGACCTACCTTCATAGCCTCCCTAGTCACTTTCTTATTTCTTCCCCTCCCCTTTAATTAGTCCTCTACCCTAATACCCTCTCTAATTGACACCACCCCTGCTGTTATTATCCCTTTTTCAATTGCCTATCTGATCTCTGATTATGCTTCCCTATCCAATTATGACCCTTTTGTATCCCGTGGTATCAGTCAAAATACGCTGGGCCATCCAAAGAAAAGACAGCCTTTAACTCCTACTGTATACAGAATTGGTTGGTGGAAAAAAAAAAAACCAAAAGAATTGGTTGAAGAACTAGGTATGTTTAAATTGAAAACCTAGTTCAAAAATTATAATGGTCTCCAAATATGTGAAAGGTTGTCATGCTGGAGAGGGTTTAGACTTATTCTGTGTGGTCCAAGAGAAAAATTAAAAGCAAAAAGGCTGAAGTCACAAGGAGGTAAATTGAGGCTTGAGGCAAGGAAAACCTTTCTAACAATTAGAATCATCCAAAAGTATCACAGACAATCCCCAGAAGGCAGTGTTTGCCCCTCACTAGAGATATTCAAGGAAAGGCTGATGTTATATATTACAGAATGTTATTGAGGGAATTCTTGCTCAACTAGAAAAAATCTAAAGATCTTTTCAACTCTGAAATTCTGTCGTTTTTAAGTGATGTAGAAGATAGTCCAGTATAAGAGGAGGTCATCTGGTTATGTATGTGAGAAAACAATAGATGGAGTCCAAACCGCAGTGATGTGTGAATTACTTGGGACACACAATAATTGACAGGGTTTCAGTTAAAAACAAGCCAACAACCACTGGGCTTTGTTTTCTAAGCCCTTTAATTGAGATCGGTACAGAGTTGATCCAGGCATAAGATTCCATTTCCCCCATTTCTCATTCAAAAAATAAAACCGTAAAAGCTCAAATGGCTGTTTGTTCCTCTGGTTTCAATTGTGAGGACCTCCAGGTCGGGGTACATGTAGGGTTATAGAAGAACAAAATGAGACGAGGTGAGAGAATTCTGCAGGAGTAAAGGGGACGGTGAGGGAGAACCGTGGGGGGCGGGACCAAGTCCGAGGTCTGGGAACCTATGGCTGGGGGTGACCCCCTCCCTGCTTTCCCTGAGCGGAGCCCTCGGCCCGGAATAGCGCCTCCTCGGTCTGGCAGATCACATCCAGGATTTCCCGGATACAGTCTCTCAGCTCCCCGGCCCTGCGCCCGATCTCTCCCCGGCCTCCTGGGGTCCCGGGTGTGTCTAGGCCCCCGGGCAGGCTTCTCTCAGGCTGCCCAGAGACACCCGAGGCTTCTGTGTCGCTCCCTTCGGAGGAGCAGCTCCGGGCGCCGCAGTCTGGGGCTTCATCTGAGTCCGAGTCCGGGGCTGTATGGCGACGGATGCGAGATACGGCTTCCCGCAGGGCCCCGGCATAAGGCCCTGGGTCCCGCACCCAGCCCCGGCCAGCGGGCCGCCGGACCCTCGCCGCTGGCTCTGAGCCTCGGGTGCCATCCGCGCACCTCTCAGCCACTCCGCTAGGCCCACTAGGGTCCGAGCTACACTGAACGGGGGACGCCCCCAGGTCCAGCTCTCTGATTGGGAGCCCCAGGATGCGGGAGGCGCGCTCCTCCAGGGAGGGGTCCTCCGGCTCCCTGGCCTCAGCATCCTCATCCCATGTTTCCGAGCAGCCCTTGTTGGGCTGATGAGAGAGCCGGCTACTCTGCAGTAGCTTTTGGCATGGGGAGGGGAAGGCTTGCTCCTCCTCTCCCTCCTCTTTTCGGGGCTTTCGGAAAGCCAGGGAGTCCCCCCAATCCCGTGGCCCCGGGGAAGGCAAAAGCTGCACGTGTTGGATTTGAGGGGTTGGGATGAACTGGGCCCGAATCACAACGCACGTGGCGTCAATGACAAACACTCCGTTTTCCCTACCAGAACTACGGGGGCTGCGGGGCACAGTATGAGCTCGCTGGGTCTCCTTCCAGTCGGTTGGAAACTTGGAAGGCCTCTGGGACCCACCCCTCTCTCCCGGGGACTCTTTCTCTCTTGGGCCCCCAGGGGCCCAGGGTCTAGGAAGGGTTTGGCTGTGCTGAGGCGGCTGGTCTCCAGGGGAAGGACCCCAGGTCTTGCGGGACCAGCTCTGTTCTCCTGCTCGTTCCCCTTCAGAGGTGTCCCTGAGAGGGAGCTTGGTTCTGGGTGTCGTTTGGGGGGTGCCAGAGGTTACTGTTTCTGCTCTTGTGGTCTGGTTGGCCCCAGGTTGTGAATAGCTCTCGCTGCCGTTGCTATTGAGACCCACAGGAGAGAACCCAGGGACCTTGTCTGAAGTCTTCCCTCCAAGCCCAGGCCCTCCACAACCTGGAAATCCACCCAGGGTGCCCCGGCCCTGCCGAATCCCCCAAGCCCCTAGAACGTCGCGGTAGATCCGCGGATCCAGCCTCTTCCTGGGGAGCTCCTCCCTATCTTTTCCTTCTACAGAAGGGGCCGGAGCTAGTGGGGCGGGCAGCCGGGGAAGCTGCGGGGGCCGTTTGGCCCCCAGGGTCCGGTGGGGGCCATCGTAAGAAGGCGGAGCCACGTAGGGTGGAGGCCGGTCCCAGCGCCTCCTAGGGACCGGCCCGGCGGCGCCTCTCAAGAGCAGGTGGGCTTCATAACTGGGAGGCCCAGACGGCCGCCCCACCCGGGGCCCCGCGCGAGCTGCAGCGCCAGGCTCTCGTAGCCACTGCGCTGCTGGACGGGGCGGGCGGCCGGACGGCCTAAGGTGCTCTGGCAACCAAGGGACCTGACGGGCCTTAGGCGGGGCGGCCTTGGGAACATTCCCAGGTTCGGGGCGGGGTCCACCTCCGCCCCGGGCTCGGCCCAGTGGACTTCGGGGTTCTGAACGGCAAAGGCCTGGAGGGCTCCAACTTCGACCCCCACCTCCCTTGCGCCGCTTTCTCTCTGTTTCTTTGGCCTCACGCTCCTGAGAGGCCGCCTTCCTTTTCTCTTGCTCCCTCGGTCGGATCTCGGATGGGTGCCCTGTCCCCCAGTTGGTTGCCTCTTGCAACACTCGGGGCACCCATGCCCGGCGAAGCAGCCGCTCTGGGGGCTTCTGGCCCAGCCCATACCTGGGACAATAAGCAGGAACCCAGGTGAGCGGTCAGTGAAGCTAAGGGACGAGCAGAGGGAACCACGGGGGAAGTAAAGAGTAGCCATGAAGATTAATGGGGTGGGGTGCGGAAGGGTTATAGAACCAGGTTGGGGAGGGGGAGGGGATAAATATGGAATCTTTAATGGTGGTGACTATTTAGGTTCTCCGGGTAGCTTCACACACTGCCTCCTTGTCACACTTTAATCGTGTAAGCCTCACACAATTTCCCCCTCTATCTCAGATTCATTAATCCATGTCCATCTCTCGTTCTCCCCCTCCCCCCGAGGTAATCCTAGACCCACCCGTTTTGAGGGAGTGGGAGTGCAGTGAGGCTTAAGCGATATCATAACAACCAGTATGTAAGTAGTGGAGAGGTCAGGACCTAAACTGCCCTTCCTTGTGCCCTTCTCCCAACCTGCTCTCCCAATTAGCCCTCAGACTCACCTGTGGCTTGAAGGTTCCTGGGCCCAAGGACCCCCAGTAGGGTCCATGGGCTGGTGAGCAGGGGCCCAGCGACTGTAATGACAGGAGATGGTCTTCACTTCAATCACTAACAGCTTGGACTTCTGTACCCAAAAGCAGCCGGCAGACTCTCCATCATGGGGCTTTCTGGGGCTGCCTGGCCCCTCGGAAAACAGCGGGCCATCCACCATCCTGTTCCACCCCAACCCCAACCCCCCACCCACCCACCCCAAGAGCCCCCTCCTAGCTTAGGAAGCCTGTACCCGCTGCAGAGCGGCGTACACAAGGACTGGGGACTATATATACCCGAGCACACGTGTGTGTCTGTGTGTGTGTGTATGTATGTGTGCGTGCATGTGACAAGGGCAGTTGTTCTGTGTTGCTACTTCTCCCACACAGCACGCGGCAGTCTTCGGTTGCCGACCTGGACACTCCCCACTTCCACCCCTTCCCCCCCAAACCCAAGCGGGACCAGTTGGAAAGTGGAGAGGATTCTTCAACTCGGGACCAGAGGTCATCTCCTCTTCCTCAGCCCTCAGAATTTCTCCCCCCTACCCAATGTTGCTGTCTTAACCCATTACTCTACAGTTAGTCTAGGTGCCCTGATACTTGGGTTCTATCCCTGGCTTTCCTTGACTCTAGTCTGCTTCTCCATTTAGAATAAGAAAATGTCCCTTGGAATTCAAGGTCTTCGCTCTCCACCCTCTGCCTGTTTCCATGGGTTTGGGGGCAGGGGAAAGGGAGGGGGCGGCCCCAAGGCTCTTGGGGGGCTATTTTTAGCGGTGGTGCGGGCGCAGGAGAAGATGAGTAACCCGCTTCTCAGCGGCGGAGGGAGGAGGCGGTTGTTTCGTGCTCAGCTCATAGCTGAGAGCTGCTGTTCCCAAGCTCTAAAGTCCCGCCCCTCCCCCCCCCAACTCCTCCTTACTTCCTCCATCGGTGACACTAGGGTCCTGCTTTGGAGACCACACACCTTTCACCCTACACTATCACTATCACCTACACAGTTCTAGGTGTTCCCGGTGGAGGGAGGGACCATAATGGCAATCAGTCTCTTCCCCCACTAACCCAGAAGGTAGGGAGAAGAGACGCTCCCTATCATGGCCACACACAACTCTGGCAAGCTCTGAACTACGAGTAGGATGAGTTTCTACACTTTTAGGAAATAAAGATGGGCAGAATGGAAATGCTCCCAGTTCTGCACCCACCTTTGTGCAACTAAGCGAAAATGAAGGACAAACAAAATGCCGTTTTGCATTTGCTGGACCCCTCCCCTTCCCATTTTGTGAATACACTTTCCCCGTTGCTGCCTTGGATGTCCACCTGTCACTGGTCCCTCTTTTGGCTAAGATAACAAGAGCAGGAAAGGTTGTTCTGATGCTCTCGTGGTCCCTTCCCCCAGCACTATTACAGGTGGTTCCCAACTTTACCATGGCAATGTTAGTAACAGCACAGCCCACGCCAAACCCACCATGCAGAGACTTAGCAACCATGCATAGCAACCATGCTAGCAATTCAAGCGGAGGTAGGGAAGGATGTAGTTCCTGGGGAAGCACAGGTAACATTTCTCCCTTACCACTGACCCTCTTCAAAGAAAGGAGGGAATAATAGTGGAGGAAAATGGATGGGACTTCCAAATTGACCCCTTAACCAAAGAGGTCACTTAGGGTTCAGAGGTGGTAGTGGTAGATAGCAAGGAATCCCTGCACTTCCCCTGGTAGGAAAAAGGATGTGAGTATATGGGGGTGGGGAGAGGGTCAGCAGTGGTTGTTACCAGGTAGGTAGAGAATGGATCAATAGGAGGCATTCTCTACCCTTTTTTAAATCTCCCTTTAAATGCCCACTTCCACTGAGGCAGATAGAGAAAATTCAAGATCCTAATTCCAAATGTTCACGTCCTCATCATTATTCCTTAGAGAAAGGACTTCAATAACATTACTTATCTGCCTCCTCTTCTCCCCACCCCATTCCTGCCCTGAGCCCAGGTACTTACCTAGCACCAGTGATTGTAATAACTAAGCAAAGGTGGAAGTGCCTCTGTCTCTTATCCTACCATAATACTGGGTCTTTTAAAGTTTCTTCTCCAAACTCTCCCCCACTACCCCATGGAATGTGCATACTCCCTAACTCATCTAATCACTCAGAAACCTCCCTCAAGATCAGGAATGTGCTGTGTAGGCCTATGTAGCATGGTGGTGGCTCATCACAGTAGCACCTCTTTATCTAGGGAGTATCCTAGGACTTGTACCCCTCCCCCACAAAGGCATGCCCTGAAGCCCATGCCTTTTCTCCAACAGCCTCCCTAACTTTAAGAAACCTCAACTTTGGGGAAGTAGCATAGGGAAGAATAAGAAGTGAAGAATGGAAAATGAGTTGTTCTGAAACTGTTAAGTAGGGAAAATGCAAGGCAAGATTGAGAGGTAGGCTAGCATTTGACCCTCCTGTCCTCCCACTTCCCCTCCAGAGCCCCCACCCCAGGACTCCCTAACTCACTGTTTGAGGTGCCATTTGATGGCTTCTGTCTGCATGTCAGTACTCAGGCAAGTGAGGATTAAATGTGTTACCTCTGGAACTGTTGCTCTCCCCACCCTGCCACCCAAACCATTCCCAGCTTTTAGGAAAAGCAGCAGAGGCAACAAAAGGGATTTGCAAGCTCACACACTGTGCAAGTTCAGCAGAATTTAAGCCCAGTCCTGCCTTCCCAGCACCACTTGGGGGGGGAGGGGGTTCTCTGGAACATTCACAGCAGGGAGGTGTATGGGGTGGTGATGTTGGGAGGGGGCTGGGCACTAACTTCTGTCTGTAGGGGAAAAGGGCCCTACCTCCTCTCTGGAGATAGTGTACTTACAAGGGATTAACTTCGGCTCCCAGTCACAGCAGAGGGACAGGAGGCTGGGAACATGGAAGGACGAGGTTTGGGTAAAGGAGAGATGTGGAGTGTAATGAGCCTGTTCTAGGAGACGGAGGTGTGTGGACCCACAAGTACGGAGGTCAAGGTCATCGCCCCAAAGAAAACACGATACTGTAGGATATGGGCATCCTTGTCATTTTAATTAGAATCACTATGAAAAATAAATCTGAACTAGCCATCCTGAACTTCCCTTTCCAACTCCCCAAGACATGGGAAGCACAGCAGGGGAAAAGAGAGCAAGAATCCAAAGGATATACTCCCCCACCAACATCATTATAGGAGGAAATGGCACTGTCTCCCTCCCACCCCCTAACTCCTTTTGTATCAGGAAGAATAAAAACATTTTTAGAGGTTCATGGTACATTATCTCAGGACACAGGAGCAGGGTATTTGCTGAGAGGACTGGGGATCTCTTAGAGATCAGAATTACCTAGGATGAGGGACACACAGCCCTTAGTTCAAACAGGGGATCGGTGCAGATGGTTGATGCCTGGGCTACAGGTTACTCTTTTGAAGTGTGTGGGTTTCTATGTTTTCCTACCCCTTTATACCCTGTCTGTAAGGTAGGGTGAGTGGGTGAGCTTCATAAAGGGCATCAGAGCCTCTAGTATCCCATCCAACTGATCACAGGTATGGTGCATTCTACGCATTCCTCCCAACTCAGCTCAGGGCTTCTCTCCCCCTGTGAGCACCAGGGCCTGCAGTATATCAGACAGTGACACGATGCCCTTTACCACATTGTTTTCTTCCACAACCACCAGCCGGTGAACCTGGCACAGAATGGCAAGGGAGAAAGAAAAGGAGCTTTCAAGCTAAGCTCAGTGAAGTAACTTTCATGATCCCATTCCCTATTTCCAAGCCTCCCTCTTCATTCCAAGTAGTCATGGCTTTTCCCTCATTCCCAAGTCTTTTGATTCTCCTTCCCTACCTCAGCTTCCACCAGCCTATTAATAATTGTCTCCAGAGTTTCATGCTGGTAGCACTTGAGTACACCCTCAAAATAGTGGGACCGATGCTGCAGTGCTTTTGTCACGGATATATCCAAGTTGTTATAGGTTTTTTCTGCAGCCAAGTTCTGGGAAAATGAGGCAAAGAGCCCAAAAAGCATGATTTCCAATTCCCCAAACCCCAATTCCATCCCACTCCATCCCACCAGAAATGGAGAGCTCAAGAGAACTGGGTCATCTCTCAGTCCACACTCAGCCAGTAAAGGATTTAGCTCTTTTCTCACATCAACATGTGGAGGCCAGTAAGTGTTACAAAAGCCCCTGAACCTACAAAGAAGAATTACCTCCTTTTCCTTCCCACATTCCCCAATCCTTCCTTCCTTTTTTCCTACCACCTGGTCCTCTGAAGTCACTCACAATAACATCAAACTTGGAGTAGATGTCCACCACACGACCTGTGAAAATAGGGGCATCTCAATCAGAAGGGCTTGGAATCCAGCACCGGAACCCCTGCCACTGCCCACAGAACACCCCTGGGGACACAGACTTCTCTCTACCCCTTCTTTTCTCCCTCCCCAATTCCTTACCTTTCTCATCTACCACAGGCAAGGCAGAGACCCGGTGCTGAACAAAGATGCCCAATGCAACGTAGACAGGTGTGGTGGTACGCACTAAAGCAATGTTGGCATAAGTGCCTATCTGGAGCTCCTCCAAAGACTTAGACATGAAATCCGGTTTAGGAAACTCTGCAATCTGGTAGGGAGACCAATCAACCAGACAGCCAGGTCCTTCAAACAGCCCTCAGACACCAACTCCCTAACCCAGTCCAGCTAGGCTTCAGTGCAGTATATGTGGGGATGGGAGAAGTCAGAGAGGAAGAGAAATAGTACTTACAAAGAGCTTGAGGAACTTGAGGATACGTTTGTGGGTGAGGATATACAAAGTGTTGCCGGAATCAGGGTCAATGACTGGCAGTCTATGGATCTTATTTCGGATCAGTGAGGAAACAGCATCAAAAAGGCTGTAGAAGGAAATAGTAATGATTAGCTCTAGATGAAGGTTATAGAGGGTTTGGGGGCAGTGAGCAAGGTCAGACCACCCACAAGGCATGTATGTATGGGGTCACTACTCCCCCCACCCTCTCCAGGTTCCCTTTGATGATGATGATACTTTTCCATTCTAAAAAAGTGGGTGGCATCTCACCTGGCATTAGGAGAAATGCAGACAAGAGGTTTAAAGGAGTCCTGAAGGTACACCTCTGAGAGAAGAAGAGATGGTTTACACACAAAATGCCACCAAAGAAAACAGCTTCCTAAGGAAACGTTCCAGCCCATTG